AAGCTAGCTGATAACTTAGTGTTTGTTATGCTAACCGTACCGGGCCGGTGTTCTGGTTTAACTGGTGATCAGGTTGTCTGGTCGTATTTGTTTAATATACCACTTCCTGTGCTCCAACAGGCCGAGCTGTGTGTGAAGTGTGGCGAGTTACTGAAGACCAAGCTGAATAAAACTAAAATCACCTGTTACTGTGAAATGTGTTGTGTCAGTGTGAGTCCACAGACACATTTCACGTAACGAGCCAAAATACATAAATTAAGTCCTTTGAACTGCTGGTTATTCAAAAAAACAACAAATTAAAATAACACATAAACTATAATTACAACTTTATTCTCACATTATTATGATTTTATTCTTGTAATATGATTACTTTTTTTCTTCCTCAATGTGGCCCTAATACGCTGTCGTAATATATAAATAATAAATATTATAATACATTATATATATATATTGAAGGGATATGTTAACTGAAGGGATATGTTATTTCTGCTACTGTATGCATTGTATGATTAAAAGGGTGAATCAGCCTTAAACTATATGAACTATGTGAACATTGTGACATTGTCTGCCGTTTGAGATTGCAGAATGACGTACAAGGACAGAGAGGACGAGAAAGTACGATGATAACATGCTTAGATAGCAGGATGTGCAGTTAAGATGCTGGGTTCGGTCGGGCTGTGCGAGAAGAGGGGGAGTGATGAGAATGTGAGAATGTGTATAAGAGTGAGTGACTGAAACAAGGGAGGGCTGCACTCTGCTTAGACAGGCGAGAGGAGAGCAGTGTGAGTCCAGAGCTCTGTAAGCAATCTCAGACTTCTATGCTTGGCTATACTTGTAATAAATTAGACGTGTTGAACTTTAAATCTGTGTCCTGCATACTTCATCAAACGAACACGCGAGTCCGGTTTTGCTGTGGAATAATAGTGGACTCAACAATATATATTTATAGGGGCAGAGTTGGAATCGAGTTTGTGACTTGAGACTCGACTCGGATTCGTGAACAATCTTTATTTTACCTCCAACATATTCATGTGACTCACTCGTTCCTGTTTATTGGTCGGCAGCAGCAGGAAACAGGAAGTGAGCTGATTTACTGAACATGGTGGAGGGACGGGGAAGAAGAACCCACTAAATCCTGGGGCTGATCTGGATCAATAAAAAACGTACAAGAAACATATAGATTTTTAAAACATGTTTGTTGTTTAATGAACTTGCATAAATGAATTAAATATATAATGTTTACACATAATTTTTACATAGAAAACGTGTTTTATGTTAAAATTCAACACAGATATTTTCAATACATAAACACATTTTACTGCGGGTGTTTCATACATGTTACAAAAGTATTTCTTCATATATCCACAGGATTATAACTGTGATAATAATATATGACAATAATATACAGTATATGTTACATTTCCGTCTGGGCGACCTCGGCCTTGGTGGAGTTGGACGGTAACCAGCACACGGAGCTACAACACAGACATCCTGATGTGTCACTCAATCAGCTCAATATCTGAACAGCTCATGACTCAAAGAGAAACTCCTCAACAACAATACCGATCAATAATCATCTAATAATCATCTGACAGTCAGAAATCTGCTGCCACCTGCTGGTTCTCTGGAGGACTGAACTCATTACCTGCAGCACTGTGTTCCTGCTGACATCAGCTGTTCCACATCTGTCTTTGGTCATCACTGTCCCATAATGCACTGTGTTTTTATGATGCGTTCAGGTGATCCTCTCCAGTTCATCGCGTCCCAGTTCATATTAAACAGCCTGATCTTCTTCGCTTTTAAATTGAATTCATATTTTATTTTATGTAATGTGAATCTAAATCTGTTTATCTTTATATCATATTTATATTATATTTCCTGATTTAAACTATTCGACCTTTAAATTCAGCTTATCCCTCGATCACCTGCCTGGAGTTTGTACTTTACACTGAATTATAAATTATGAATGAAATGTTCTGTACAAATAAAGGTTTAAACTGTGACAACAAGCAGCTCGTTACTTTGATTTTCCAGTTTCATCTTAATATTCGGTCGTCGATCATCAAATTACCAGATAATGTTAATTACGTTTTTTATTTCATCTGAATATTAGATTTGTGGCGATTAGCAGCTAATGTTATTGGACATATTATATTTCATCCAGATGTTATACTTACTGGTGAATTTAATTCATATCATCATCTGGTTTGTGACCAGAGTTAGCAGCTAATGTTACTGTCACTTTTTACTTTCCCTTGACATTAGATTGTTGGAGGCTAAACTTGGCAGCTAATGCAACTTACATTTTTTCCAACTTCATGTTAATATTGATTAATATTAACTGTTGATCATCAAGATACCAGCTATTGTTGACGTTTCCTATTTTATCTAAAGAAATTAGCAGCTGTTTCACTTTTTGTTTTCCCTTGATGTGTTTAGCAGCTAAAGTTACTGACTTTTTATCAAATTACATTTATTTTAGAATCATGTTGATCTGGTT